CCCCCAAAACCCCAAAACCCCATCACTTAGAATTAATGGATAATTTAGTCTTAATATAAATATTAAATAATGATTAATTAGATTTCCTTAACTTTTCTTTGTATTCAAAGACTGCTTTATCAATTAAGATCTTCTTTAATTGAGCCAGCCTTGACTACTGTTTTTCTAAACTGATCTCTTTTGTATTGCATCTCCTTTTCTCTTTGAATTTGGATCTAGGTGGTGTCCTTTCTGAGTTCTCTTAGTGCATCGTTTTAAGTTTTTTTCATCTTTTTCTTCATTGTTTTCTCATCCAGGGGTTTCTTCATCTTGAAGTCTTTAAATAGCAAGAAATCTTCTTCAATGAGCGGAGCGTAAGAGGGCAATGGCTTAAGTTTTTTATTAGTTAGCTATAAATAAGAGAGTTATTTGTGGTCAAGACTTTCAATTTTAAAAGATTTTCTCAAAAGCTTTGAACTACTAATCGCCTTATTTATTTCTTTAATCATAATCTACGAAGCTTGGCAATCTCTAATAATACTGATTAAACTTTCATATAAACTTTTGTATTTATTTGCTAGGCCTGCTTTAGCTTCCTGCTTCCCTAGAAATACTGCTAATTTTAGCATAATCTAAATAACACCTGGGTTGAATTTCTTTTACAGCTAAGAGGTAATCTTAATATCATTTTCTGCAATCAAAAACAGAGACTCTATATTTTAAGGCATAAAATACTCAGAAATGCAATAAATATTAGCTACTGTCTATTCCAATGCATCAAGCAACTTACTGTTCTCAGGACATTAGAGCACCTCATTGAATGCTCTCTATGTCTCTATCACTTACTCCAAAATATTTTCTGTAACATCATCGCTATGCGTTTCCTTAATTTGCTATACTCCCTCAATAATCTTAATCAATTTATTCTTTAGATAACTTGCAAAAATGGTTCCATCTTGATAGCAAAGCTCTCTCAAGTGATTTAGTATAACTTGGCTTGAATTGTACTTGACATAGTACCTCAAAAGGTTCATTGTGAATAATTTGAACTACTCTGATTTATCTGGATTAGCATCTGGATTATGATACTCTCTAATTCTTTATACTACAATCTTCTGCTCATCCTCAGAGTGATCTTTCAAAAGCTACTTCAACTCCTTCAGTGTCTTGGGTAACTCATAGACGAATTTGAGCTTGTTGTTGCGCTCTTATTCATCAGTAAGTTGAACTAGCTTCAAATCAGGCTGCTTGTTTGAGACCATCTAAGCACTGCTTGGATTTCTATCACTTTCCTCTTAACGACTCTAAAACTTCTTAAAGGTTCTTTGCGATTTCGACTATCTAGTCATTGTTCTAGTTGCACGACCCATTTTTATCTATAGTAGGTAATAATATTTATAATAAAGTTAATTAATTAAAAATAGAATGCTTTAGTAATTAATTTGAAGTTTTATAGTTAGTCATTTCAAAGAGATCTAAATAACTTAGCTTAAATTATAATAATTAAAGTATAAATATGAGTTAAGTTAACAATCAAGGTGGGGGTTAACAGAATTTAAGAGTAAACGGGGCTTCACCCAAACTAGCCAAGACTAACATCCTAAATCATTAAAATAGTCTCAGCAATTCCTTCAAAAATGACTAGTTTCAATTTCAGCAAACTGCCTCTATCAAAGCTGGCTTCATTTAAAAGCAACAAGTACCCACTGATAATGGCTCTAAAAATATAAACTGGGTCAAGCAGAACAATAAGAAAATCAATTCAAAAGCCACTTAGCAACTAAAGATTCAGCTATAGGATCTTGATGAGGAGATTTAGAAGAAGAGGCCTCTCTCTCGGTATGACACGAGTAGTCTTGCTCTCCAAAAAAAGAAAAATGATCAGCTTGATTAATTAGGGGAAAACAACTCTTAGTCAATTTAAATACAAGAAGAAGATTCTCCTCGGGAACTTTAGGTTATTTAGCCAAGCAAAATTAAAGCAGAAATGACTTTTATCTAGAAGGTCAAATAATGTTGTGGTGGGAAAAAGCAAAAGGATAATTCTCACTTGATAGAAGACTATTCAGAAGGAGAGAGTGACACTGAATTCGAAACTCCCTACAGCTAACTAAACTTGACTGAAAAACACGATAGAGTCAAATATCTTTGGCATCGCTCTTTTCTTAAGGCTAAGGGAGCTGCTCATATACTGGCTAAATTCGGAGAGTTGAATAAGAAGATATACTTGCTTGGAGCTGCGAGGAAAGATGAAGAGTATGAAGACTAGAATGCCGTGATTCTGAGAACAAAGAAGTGCATAATTATGCCTGATGAGAAAGGTAAAGCTTATTGGAATCTTGTTATTACTGCTCTGCTTCTCTACACGGCTACTTATGTACCTTTCAGAATCTCTTATGTAGATGATAATCCGATTTACATGATTATACTAGACACAATAATGGATATGATCTTTCTAACAGATTTGGTTTTAAGCTTCTTCTCTGCTTATGAAGATAAGAAAATGGGTGTTGAGGTAAGACATAAGTACATAGCAATCGCTTATATAAAATCATGGTTCTTCCTTGATTTGATGTCTTGTGTACCAATATAATTGATGGAAGTCTAGTATGACGAAGCTGGTGGCTAAAAAAAACAATAAACTTCAAGTGTCAAACTACTGAGACTAACAAGATTGCCTAGACTTTACAGACTAATAAGAATTTTAAGACTTTTTAAGATGCTAAGGCTTTTCAAGCAGCAGAGCTCAATGAAGAGGCTATTTGATTCAATAAAGATGAATGCAGGTATTGTGAGAATGATAAGTGTCACAATCACTGTATTCTTCTTAGTTCATTTAGTTGGATGCTTTTGGTTCTTGAGTGCAAAACTTGACGACTTCAATCCAGATACTTGGGTAGTCAGATTTGGGTATCTTGACAAAGATCCCAGCGTTCAATATCTTGCTTCTATTTACTGGGCTTTGTAAACGCTGACTACTGTAGGGTTTGGAGATATATACGCTAAAACAATACCTGAAAAAGTTATTGCAATATTATGGATGATATTTGGAGTGGGATTCTATTCCTTCACTATTGGAAACTTATCTTAGATAATCGCTAGTATTGATACTTAATCAGCATTATTGTCTTAAAAACTTAGTATACTTTCAGAATTCTCTAAAAGAACAAATCTGCCAACAGATGTCATGTTTAGAATCAGAAGGCATTTGGAAAATAACAATAAGCATCAAAACAATTTAGAGGAATAAGAAAAATTATTGAATGACTTACCAGCTGCTTTGAGAAGTGAAGTTGTTAAACACACTCATGGTGAAATAATTTAAAAGATAAACTTCTTCAGAGAAAAGACTCCCGATTTTTTATGGGCAATTCTGCCAGCATTGAGACCAATTAAGCTTATGCCAACAGATGTTCTCTATACTCAAGGAGACCATTCTGATGAAAGTAAGATATTTGCTATATAATACCATAGTATATTTCATTAAGAAGGGAAGGATAAAGCTCTATATTGATGTAAATGAAAATAATCCAGATGCTTAAGAACCATTAAATATTGCGTTTATTGCCTATGTAGAGGGATCATATTTTGGAGACTCAGATATATTCTACTAGGATGAGAATAAGGGAAGAGATAGCACAGCTGTTGCTGACACAGAATGCCACTTACTTGTATTGAGTAGGAAGGAACTCATGCAATTAAATGATGACTTTGAGGATATGAGTAAAGAGATGAAGGAGATCGCCAAGGAAAGGAAAGCTAATCACGAAGAGCTGATTGCAGAAACTGTGGAAGAGCATATCAAAACTAAGATGCAGGAAAATCTCAAAAATGCCATTATGATTGGTAATCTAAGGACTCCTAAGGTAAAACTCAAAAATATAATGATTTTTTTTAGCACAAAGATGATCATCATAATATATTCAGAAGTTAACTAGGCAGTAAATCAAGAAGCAACTCAGGAGTAAGAGCTGGTAAAAAAGAAGAGTATTCGTCTTCTAGAACAACTAATAATAAAGAAGCTAATGCTACTATAAGCAATAACGTGTTCTCAGATGCCATTAGAAAGTTGAATGTACCCTCATAAAATCAATCTGGCTTATCAGCTTCAGACAACTCTAATCCACTTTTAATGCCGCTGACTGCCAATATGAATGACAAGATAAAACAAAGAGAGATCTATGTCCAACAGGGCAAAAAGGAATTGGACAGCAAACAAAAGAAATTCAGAGAAGATTACAATGAGACACTAGTTAACTTCTAAAACAACATGAACTTTCTGGCTATTCATGCAGATGAGATCCAGAACATGTTTATTAGTTACCAGAAAGAGAGACAGAGCATAATGGGAGCAATGACTGTGATGAAGGAATAGGCTCAATAGCTAAAGGCAAAGTAAGGATTATTATTCAAATTGATAATGCTGTTTTGTAGTTCTGAATTTTTGAAGAGCACCTTAGATATGATAATTGAGAAAATATGAGTTAAATTATTCAATGAATATTACAGTCATCATAAAACTTTAATTTCATCAATTTGTCTAAATATTAAAACATGGGGTTTTGGGGTTTTGGGGTTTTGGGG